TAAAGCGCTAAAGGAATTCGGCCTTCGGATGTACAAGCTGTTGGCTTTATGGTTGTACAAAGTTGAATATCTTTTTTGTATATCTTTGCTCAATTCTCTGTGCTCAAACTCTTTATCAATCCCTTGTCGAATGTTTATTGTAGAGTCTCTCTAGACTAATTCGTTCTCTAGACGTTCTCTAATTTCTCTAGACGTTTTCCAAAACGCATCAATCATATGCAGTGTAGACTTGCTTAGTGATATTATCGATACAAACGACATGCTCATTCGACATGACCGTTCAGATCTTAGTTTCTAGAAAAGCTATCAAGAAAATTGCTTCATTGGAAAGGCAAGAATGTCAGCTTTTAATTGCTTTTATAAATAGTGACTTTTAAGCACCTCGTAAACCTTATCGATACTTTTCGATATCGAAAATATAAATTCTCGATATATCAATCAATACTTATCGATATTTGAGTATCGATAAGTATTCTTGTAGTTTTCTTGTACCCAATTAGATACAACAAAATCTTTCAGGCGAACCCTTCATCATCAAACAGAAAGGCGGCACCGCCTGGGTAGACGGGAACAATCTTCTTGGCGCTGTTGTGGGCAATTTTTGCACTCGATTAGCTGTACAGGTATGAGAAAATAGTTAGCCATCCATTGAAACCATCTATTGAAGCCATCCATTGGAGCCATTCATTGGAGTCATCCACTGAAACTTTAAAATAATTCAGAAATCTTTTAGAAGGCAAAAGAGCATGGAATCGGGATGGTGGTGGCGAAAAATTCGAACCATTTCGGCATCGCCGGTTGGTATGCACAATACGCGATGGAAATGGGTTGCATTGTGGGTCTAAAATTTGAATATCAACCAGCTTACCAATAGTTGAGTGCTGTTGCATTATTGAATGGAAATTTTTAGGGAATGGCCTTTACAAACACGTCACCTTGCGTCTTCCCGACGAGATCCTCGGAGAAAGCGCTTGGGTAAGTGATTGAAATTCTAGTCTATTCTATTGTACTTACTAGTTAAAATTGGATAATTTGAATAGAACAGCGAACAACTTAGCATTAAATACTTTGAAAATTCATCTACAGATCAAATCCCATCTGTTTCGCTGCACCAGCGCAAAGTGGAGACAACTTTTTCTTGGACATGGCCTCGACGACGGTCGCTTTCGGAAAAGTTCGTTCCAAAGAGCTGAAAAGAGCTGGAAATCTTTCAAAAACTATAGTTTACGAATACTAATATCCACATTTTAGATAGAAGTGGTCGACAAACGTGGAGGGAAAACGATTCCCCCGTGTTGGGGCGCTGATGCAAATGGACGAGAAACCACGAATCCGAAGGTACGGGTAAAGTTTTTGCAAAACCTTCTTACCAATTACCCAATTATCAATACCATACAATAAGAAAGCCCCAATTACCGTAACTAGATATCCATATCATAAATTAGATCTTTGTGTTTCCCGTCTCAAGTCATTTGCTGTTACGGTAACCGTTATAACTTCAACTACAGTCGACTCTCGATTTAACGATTCTAAAGCGTCTCCCAAATTTCTTGCGTAGCCGCCCTGAACAGCCAACGATTGCGTTTCGCTGGGCAGCTACGCAGAAACCAAGTGCATATTTTAACTGTGTACTCTCAAAAAAACGCTCATATTTCGACATCAGTACGTTTTTTTCTGTGCGCTTGGGTATCAAATTAAAATTGAAAGGATAGTAGACTTTTTGAGATATAACCCATATTTTTAGCATTAACCAGCGCTTAGAAAAAATGATTGAAAAATGGCAAAAAAAGCCGATTTTTCATAATTTTTCAATCATTTTGTTCTGAGTTGGTTAATGCTAAAAATCTGTGTTATATCTCAAAAAAAATCACCCATTCTCTCTACTTTAATTTGATACCTAAGCGCGTGGAAACAGACGTACTGGTGTCGCGATATGAGCAGTTCTTTGGGTGTTAACTTAGAATACGCTACGCTCCTATGGGGGGGGGGCTTCTATTAGAGAATTTACGGTAATTCGGGTTACAATGACCGGCGTGTACTTATCGCTTCTCCAGAACGGATGTTCCCCACCCATAATTCTCTCATTACACTAATTTTCAGGTGGTTCTAAATGGTGGTGGACTTCAGCCGCTTGGTGGCTCGGAACCAACCGGTAAGTAGTCTGGATAGATGAACTTTGCTCCCAGAATTTAGCAGTTAAAATTTTTAGGTGGTTACAAAGGAACTGGTCTTTGCATGATGGTTGAGGTGCTTTGTGGAATTCTTGGTGGAGCCGCTTTCGGCAAAAACGTTCGCATGTGGCAGACAACGGATACGACGGCTGATTTGGTAAAAATGCCTAAATTCTTGCAATTTTTAAATTATACCAATTTTCCTGAGCTTTGTACCAGAGAATTAACCTTCTTGATTTGATTTGTACATGGATTAATTATTTAGGGACAATGCTTTATGGCCATAGACCCTGAATGCTTTGCTCCGGGATTTGCAGAAAGACTACAATCCTTCCTTGATCAAACGAGATCTTCCGACGCGGTTTGTTAAATGATCCAACTTGCTACAATATACCAGCTAAATCCACAAGCTATAGTCAAATTGATTCAACTATACTCGCTTTTATTTAACTAACATCTCAGATTGATGATGACCCAATTCTCGTGGCTGGGGACCCTGAAAGAGCCCACATGGCAATGTGTGATGATTTGGATGGGCTTGTCTACAAGAAAAGCCAACTCAAACATTTGGTACGCATCACAAAAAAATTCCCGTTTAATAAGCTTTAGGCCGACCTTGCCAATCGTTATGATGTCGAGATGCTCAAAACTAAAGTTCATCTATCAGCCCAACAAGCTTGAAGTTTGTCCCATTCTTGCTAGAATTTGAGGTTTCCACTTTCATTAAAACTACTTATTTTGCTCTGAAAGTAAATATTTAGCTTCGACTGCACACAAACAACAATACTTCGAAAAAACATTAGATGTTCAAGTAGTTAGTGACAAAATAAAGACAAACAGTACACGAAATTATCATTCAACTGCCTTTTAAAATTGTATTAAACGGAATGCGAGAAAGTTTGCTGAAGGGTCTCACGGATATGGATTTGATTAGTCATCGTCGTCACGACGCTCGAGAAGTTCGTAATCGTCGAGGAGTTGGACGCCTCCCATAGCCATCAATGTCCCCGTCAAGAGCGAAGTGAAAAAAATGGCGAACAACTGAAAATAAAAATATACTGAGAAAATTTATGAGGCTACGCTACTTTACAATTCCTTAAACAACCACTGCCTTGCGCTGAAGACGAGAATAAATTGCTAAGTCGTTTACCAAGTCTACTAAAATTTAATTGAACTAAAACACATCCAGAAAAAACAAGACGCTTCAGTATCCTCTTAACTGGCTCAGAACGAATACAGCTCGAAGCAAAGCTGTTTTGTGATGACGTGCAAAATGCCTTTAAGCCCGGTAACAAAAACGCAAAACCGATTTGAAGTTTCCATAAAAATCTCATAAGCTTAATAGTCTTAGAAAGCAGGGTGCTTATCCATTATCAGGGTGGGGGCAAATCGTTAATTTTACTATATAACTATCTTTTTTTTTTCTGTTCTTTTTATGGTTTAGTTTTTGTTTCTCCCTCTTTCCTGGGCTATGGCTCCTCACACTCGGAGACCTGACCGAGCACAGGCTATAACCTGATTGGCTCACGATCCCCGAGACCGGAGGTGGGTGAATCAGGTTATAGCCTATGCCCGGTCAGGTATCCGAGCGTACGGAACCATAGGCTTGGTAAATAAAAGAGGGAAAAATAAAGACTAAATCATAGAAAAACAACAAAAAAAAATACCTATAAAGCCAAATTAACAATTTCAATGACTCTATGAGGAAACAATGAGATAAAGTGCAACAGTTCCCAACAGTTGCAACAGTGCAACAGTTTTTGTGGCTCCAAAATTGTTTTTAAAAAAAACAACACTTACTCTTACACCATCGTGTTTTCGTAGAACTGGTGGTGGCGGCTTGATGAAGACCATTGTGGGAGGCGACCGTAGACGACTTAAAGAAGAAAAATTTGTACAGCAAAACAACAAATGTGAAAAGCCCGAAAAATAATGAAGTTTTAACGCCAAGCTTATTTTTTATAGTTAATTTGACTGTAAGGAATATTAAAGTAACGAATTAAAATTTTAATCATAAGCAGGGTTGGATATAATACACAGTAAGAGAGACAAAATTTCATTTTTTGGCCGAGGCTTTTTGTAGTTGACGGGGTGTTGTTGCGAGATTTGTTAAACTCTGGTTAGATAGGCAGCTTTTTTGGTTTAGAAATTCTCCCTTGTTTGAAAAACTGATGCATAAACTATCTAACGCGTTAATATTCAGCGCTCGGGGCTAGAGTGGTTGGGGGGCCAGTCTGGAGCCTGACCCAAAATAAATATTTTTCGACGAAAACTTGCACACATAGATTTTTAACTATGCTGATTCGATTGGGAGTACTTTTATAACTTTTTCAAAATTAATTTTATGTTTTATTTGGCTTTGTGAATACGCAACATATACATTTTCCTAGGCTTGCGCTCTGCACTCCTGCCACGCCGAAGGCACCAGCTTGCAGCACCAGCCCCGAGCGCTGAAGCCTTAAGGCTTAGGCTTGGCGTGTGTAAGTGCGGCCATTCAACGTTGGTCGTTAGGCCCATGCCAACATTGAAAGGCTCCACAAACACGTCAAGCCTAAGCCTTAGGGCTGCAGCGCTGGTACGTTCGGTGCCGGTGCTGCACGAGCGCCTTTAGCGCGACAAAGGCGGAGCCAAAGTCTAGGAAAAAATAGGTGAAAATAAAAAGAAGTAAATACGACTCAGCATAGTCAAAAATCCCTGCGTGCAAGTTTATTCAGAAAAATATTAATTTTGGGTCAAGTTCCAGAACCCCCCCCCCCCCAACTACTCTAACGCCTAGCACTCTTTCTTTTTATTCATGCCAAACCTTTTATGATGTTGTTTCTTACAGGAATGAACCCTCCTAGCAAAACAAATCTCTCAACCGGTAAAGTTTTTTCTTCTCTTTCTTAATTTGCGCGCTTTAGGCGCTGCAGAATTATCGTCAGTGATTCTTCAACAACAAGATCTGCACCAACAACGTCAGAGCATTCAGGAGCAAAGGTATACTTTCTTGTTTTGTATGGGTACTTTTGACTTAGCAGAGTAGGGATTGATAAATTTGCATAATTTAAAATAAACAAAGCGAAAAAACGCATAATGTGAAAACTTACAATTTAAAAGCCATTTCTTTTTTAAGGATGTCATTACAAACCATCAACTTCTTTGCCAGTTTGCAAAAGACTTGTATGGCGAAACAACAAAGATCAGGTTGGAAAATCTGATTTCCTTTGACTTGCATGACATTTCATACTTCACCTTCTATACATTCAGTACATTTTTCAACTTTTCTTTTTAGATATGGACGGAATGCCAAACAAGAATCGTGTCAACGCACTAGCCGGAAACGTTTTGGGAAACTCGACTGTTAACAAGGCGTTGATGCAACACAATGGTCCTAGATCAGCGGATGTCGTAAGCAAAGCCTTTGATCGCAGATCTAGTTTACTTTAGATCGGAATGGCACATGGTGAAGAAATGCCCACGAAACAACACAATACTCATCGGATTTCGGGATCGCCTGCTGTCACACCTCCGCTCAGATTCAGGGACAATCATGTAATAGTGTTCTGAATGTACTTAATTGTTTATATTTTAGAATGCTACTGCGTTTCAATTCTACCCAGCCAACGTTGCTAGTTTGATGGTTCAAGCTGGCAGAACCAGCATGCGGAACTTTCCTACTGGGTATATTATGGTACTGTTTCCGGTTTGAAATAAACTCTTAGAAGCTGGTCATATATGCAGCCGCAGCAATCTCGTCACGAAAGCTTGAGCGATGTGGAGTATAAGCACAGTCAATCGTCACTTCAGTCATCACCTCCGATCGGTGGCTCTTTGACAAATTTAGATTCTATGCTTTTTTTGTAGATCACGTCTCCAGCATTGACGTTTCACGGCAGAAATCGGTAGGCAAAGAGGGTGATCAGCAACGAAACAAGGAAAATATTGGCTTGGAGAAGCGTTATCGTAAGCATTTAGTTAATAAATAAACTTTAATTACATAAACTTTAAAATTGTTGCCAATATCTAGGTTATTTACCCTCTTATCCCTAGACAACCAGGAGTTCGCTAAGATTGTTTTTTCTAAATCTCTGTGTCTCTGGCAGAAAGAGAGCCCTGATCGATCGAATTTGCTCCCAATCGCGCCAATAGCATTTCTTTCTTTCCGGGTTTTTACACGATGAAATAATTGTACTTTTGTCGGGCTTTTCCATTTAACCCAGCTACAATATGACGCTTTATTTGAATACTTCAACTGAAGAATTTCTGCATCGTCGGCTATTAGAAGAATTAGAGGAAAAGCAAATGGCTGATTGTTCTAAATGTGCTGTTCAAGCAAAGTTTTTCAATCCTACGGATCGCAAAATCAATAATCTGATCACTATTCGAAAAAATCAGGGATGGACTCTTCCTGACTTGAAGAAAAATACGAATTCAAATCATTGGCTACCTTCTCGCATTTCCAAACACCCAACTTTCTTGTCAGACAAAGGGTTTGAAACAAATGGCTCCTTGTTCGCTACTACTTCTAACGGATGCTTTCTTTTGGAAGGACCCTCCGTCAAAATGGGTTACGATTATCCTTTAGAAAACCATTACAACCATTCAACAAAAAACGTAGAAGATGCAAATGATCGACAAAAGAGCCAGCTAAAAACAAGAAAGAAGAGTGGTATTCTTGCCATGACGGATCTCGAGTTTGCTTGGTTTGAACGAGCACATATGGAGAGTAATCTGATAGAAATATATTCTGAACCAAGTCTGCGATTTTGCGCATTACCACCAACTCCTTCATTTGCAATTGTACAGATTCAGATGTCTGAAAAAGGTAATGGTTGCAGCGTTAACTAATTTTAGCTATGGGTTTAAACTGACTTAAGATTCTTAGACCATTTCGTCAATTCATTAATTTGAAGTCTTGGTGACAAGTGGCGGGAAAAGTATGTTGGCTTTCGGTCTCGAGTTTTCTAATGCAAGCACTCGAGCATTTTTCTGGTCCCTTTCAGATAGTTTGCACCCACCACGCTTCGAATACCCGCGCATTATTACCTCTTTAACAAAGATTAGATACCTAATTTAAAGCTCCGTTAATGTCAAGCAATTGTAGCTTGTTTTTAGGAAGTGAGCCCGAATTGAAGGTCGACCGTTTTATGACAAGGTGCTATGAGCAGGCTTCACCATCATCTACATTGTTCGATGACAAAGGACATTTCAAGGTTTCGCAAATGGATGTGGTATGAAATGTTGTTTAGTTATTAATATGTACTGTTTATTTTAGCTTAGCGAGAAAATTTGGTCCTTTCACAATTCGATGACACAGACGGATACGACACTGAGCCGCAAGCTTTATCTGCGAGATTTGTTATACTACGTGATATGCCCGATCTTTCCAAGTAAATTAAAATATAATTGAACGATTGTAATGGGATTTAGTGTGTGGTCTTTACGTGGTGGGTTCATCACTGAATGGCTTTGGCAACAACACCTCCGACATGGATGTTTGCCTGATGATTACAAATCACGATGTATTGATTTCAATTCAATTTGTACTACTATGAAATCATTTAGCTTGATCAAAAGAAAGATGCGATCGTGGTTTTGAATTTGGTCTTTACATCACTCAACAAAGTCGAATGGATTGCCGAACAACAGCTAATCTTTGCCAAGGTTCAATTTTTGGTGTCCCTGTAAAATGCCTCGTTTTAGGTGCCAATTCTTCGAATCAAGTTTCAAGCACCTTACTCCGATATCATTGTCGACTTGAACGTGAACAATTCTGTGGCCATCAGAAACACGCATCTTCTTTCTTACTATTCGAACTGTGAGTTGCCTATTTTCTACTTTTACAAATTTGTAATTTAGTTGATTGGCGCATTCGTCCACTCGTAACCATCGTGAAAGAATGGGCAAAAAGAAAAGGAATCAATGATGCAAATCAATCTTCATTTACCTCTTACTCGCTAGTTTTGATGGTTATTCATTATCTGCAATGTGAGTAGTATTTTTATAGTCAGACAAAATCAGAGCAAAAAGACAAAATATTAAATCCAATTTATCAAATTAATTTAGGCGGTGTCGAGCCACGGTTGCTTCCATCTTTGCAAAGGGCCTTTCCGAAGAGATTCAATGGAAACAATGACGTCCGCTCTTTGAATGTGACTATGATGCTGCCACCGATCGAGAATTGGGACTACAACGATAAAATTACCCTCGGCGAGCTGCTAATCGGTTTCTTGGATTATTACGCGAATCAATTTGAGTGTGTTTATTAAAAGCTCAAAATTTTTAACTTATTAGTGAGCATTATAAAGCCATATTGTTTAGTTACGATACTGATGCTATATCAATTCACGATGGCGTCAAAATCGATCGACGTGCTATTGTTTCACAACAGCTGCCTAGACATGGGTCAAGTCAAGCGGCAATTGGGTCAGGAAGTTGGCGATCACAATGGCGATGTATTTGCATTGAGGTTTGTTTCTGAAACCTGTAACAAATAGATTTTATACATTTTTTTAGGAACCTTTCACAAACTTAAACACAGCTCACTCGATCTACGATGAGATGGTGTTTAATGAGATCAAAGTACTGTTTGAATTGACTGAAAGCGCCAACTCACTCTTTTAGCAAGCGTTCCGAGAAAGTCATGACGAGTTGAATGTAAGTCGGGATCTCACCAAATGGCTCGCTCAATGTAAACCAATCACTGCATGCCCACCAAAAGCTGGAGGAGTGATTTTTTGCGCGCCATATGAGGGCAGGTTTGAGTTTTATACTAATGAACTCTATGATTGTGCGTCTTTTAGCTCTGATCATGTTATGGCCGTTACCGCTTCTCAAAAGGCGTCCAATTCGACTCAAAATGCTGCAGCCAGTGGTCGAAGCAGCACAACAAGTGGATCAAGCTTGATGGAAAATGACAGTGAAAGGTAATTTTTCAAACATGTCATGTACAGGTTTTGTTTTACAGGCAGCCATCGCCGGTCAGCCAGCTTTTCGAGAAGGCTCATACAACGCGCTGGAACAATGCCAATTCTCCACCGTCTTCCAAGTCGAATATGAATGGAAACAACCAAGCAGGACAAAAGCGAAACAGTTATCAGCAATCTGGAACTTACCGCAGCTACCGTCCAAACAATAATCAAGGACCGAGGAAGAGCTACAACAATAGGAGCTATCACAACCAACAGCGGAACGGTGCACCCACCCCTAATGGTCCAAATTGTTGATTTTTTCAAAATTACTTGTTATCTAAATGTTACCTAGTTTTTGTTCCTTGACCGGTGTATCTCACTTGTTTTCTATGTCGATTCATCCAGAACCTGAATGTGATTTGTTGTTGTTATGCCATTTTCTCAAATGACAAACCGCTCTTGTATTTAATTTAAAATAGGTTTACGTTGTTTAGTTATTATCGCCTAATAATTAAAAAAAACGGATCCTCATAATGTTCATTGTGAGGAGCCACCAAAAAAATTTTAAAAGTTATCAAAAAAAAAAGTTTAAAAAGTATAGACCCTAAAAAGTTTCCTTTCTTTGCTTTTTGTAGTGTTTATCTTCTTTTTGTATTTTCTATCATTGTCCCGATGAAGCAGTTGAGCAATTTATATTTACCAAGAAACCTGCTTTCATCTTGCACAAATCAATTTCGCGTGTCTTTGTATTTTTTTGTTTGTTGCGCCTGATTTGTATTTTACGGGACTCATTTATTGCCATCGCCTGTATGCCGACTCATGACTTTTGATTTTTGTGTGTATTCGAAAGTCGCTTATCATCATCTAGCAATTCTGAGGCATTCTTTTTGTTACCCTTCTCTCATTTAAGGCCGTGATGAGATTTGTGGTTGAATTGCTTTCATATTCGCTTTATGAATTTTTGCAATGCTCGTTCAATAAACGCTAGAACTGAGATCAATGAAAAAGGCACGTAACTAACAAAAAAGTAAGTAATGAAGATAGTGAATAGCGATTTGTTATTCGCACTATAATGGATTCAACTTCTAAAGTTCACTTTATATTCTGCTTCTTGGTTTCACATGTTTATTTCAGTAGATAAAAAAAAGTGCAGGGCAAAGATCTTTTACTTCATTTGAGATGTGGAAGGGAGAAAGACGGATTCCCATGTTGCAAGATGCCAATGTTTGCGAAGGAATCACACGTAGGGGCAATCGAATGAGAATGAAAAGCGGAAATCCATTCACACACCCACAATATCTACACCCTTGCATTCGCATGCTATTTTGTGTGTTGTTTTTTCCCAATCGCTGGGTCAGCTGTTCTCATAAATGGGGAACCTCAATGTCATTCTCAATTCTCATTAGAGCCTTTCATCCCATCAATCTCTTTGCTTTTTATGAAATGGTTACCTCCTTCTTTTTTCTGTATGTTGTCCGTTTATTGAAAGCTCAGCTCGACTAAACCACGAGCTTGCAAGTTCTCAATGATATTTTTCTTGGGGTTGATAAAAATTTGAAAAGTTCTTTTTAATGTAAAGAGATTTCATTTGTTTTGAATTTGACTTATGGAATTTTGATGTTTTCAAACCGATTCATTGTTTAGCAAAAATTGAGAAACTTGTCAAAGAATTGATTAGTTTGAGCAATCTTATGGTTTGACCAATATATTCTTATTTGTATAGCTCTCCATGAAATCTACCGTAGTTCTGGTGTCAATGCTGGTTAACCTAAACGAAAACATTTTCATCCGAATTCCGAATTTTTGCCTCTTTTGTGAAAGCCTTGAGGTTGTCTTCTCGCACTCGTTTAAGCTCTAAGCACCCGGAGAACCGTAGTTTTCCGGTTATGGCACCTTATAGAAGACTTTTTACTTACAAAAGATTGGTACAGATTGTATATCTTTCTTTCACACTCTTTACTACACATTCTAGCTTAATTTTGATTTACAATACCGTATGATTTCTACTCAACATTAACTTGAGCGTTAAGCAAAACGAATTTTAGTCTTGATCAACCTTCATCAGTTGGTGTCGATTCTTGCGATGAGCTTTGATATCAACCTTGAAATTGGCCCTAACTAGCTTTGCTTATCGGTGAAATTTTGAAATGAAACGAAATAGTGAAATGGATTACGGTAGAATATTTAGCTTGTCTGTGATTTCTGCTTAGAACTACAGGGTGCAGCAGAATTAAGTAGGCACCTGAATGCTTTATCATTTGGTTGGTTTTATCATCTCAAGCAAATACTATACAAATTTCATCTAAAAGCACTAAGTAAATTGCATAAATTGCATTTGCTAATTGCTAATTGCAGAACAACATGGCCAAGTGGTTAGATCTACTTAATTCTGCTGCACCCTGTAGTTCTAAGCAGAAATCACAGACAAGCTAAATATTCTACCGTAATCCATTTCACTATTTCGTTTCATTTCAAAATTTCACCGATAAGCAAAGCTAGTTAGGGTTAATTTCAAGGTTGATATCAAAGTTCATTGCAAGAATCGAGGCCAACTGCCGAAGGTTGATCAAGACTAGGATTCGTCTTGCTTAACGCTCAAGTTAATGTTGAGTAGAAATCATACGGTATTGTAAATCAAAATTAAGCTAGAATGTGTAGTAAAAAGTGTGAAAGAAAGATATACAATGTGTACCAATCTTTTGTAAGTAAAAAGCAAGGCTAGTTAGGGTCAGTTTCAAGGTTGATATCAAAGTTCATCGCAAGAATCGAGATAAATACCAAAATCCAAGACTTTTTTGTTTTGCCACTTTTTATTTGGCTAAGCCGGTTTTTCTAAAATCATGCCCTTAGAAATTCTCAAGTAGAGATCTAGATAAGCTGAATATTCTAGTATTTATCGATTTCCTGTAACTTCTACCGTAATGTGTTTCCTATCCTGAAACTTTGAGCGAAAAGCAAATCAAATCCTTTATCAACTTTGAACTTGGCTTTATTTTTTGTCATAACCTTTCAAATCAACGTTCGTACTTGATTCAAATATCCCACTTGAACTAAAAAAAAGCTCTTCTTAAGCGTTGATCAAATGAAAAATTTCCCTCAAGTGCCCCAGTTAGTTGACCTTATGAAATTTCCAAAAAGCCGGCAAAAGAGACAGATTTGAAGACACTCACCAAAAATGAAAAAGAACTTCAAATCCCCTCGGAGCTCATCAAAAAATCTTCGTGTTTGTCTTTTCTTTTTTGATTTTTTCCGGGAATTCATCTCCTTCACCCTTTTCCCTACTCAAGAAAAGTCACTTTTGATCCTCCTCTAACCATAAACAAACCTTCTCATTTCTTTTTTTGCTATCTCTTTTTTTGCTATTTCTTTTTTTTCTATTTCTTTTCTAAATTTCTCTTTTCATTCAAGAAAACGAAAATATTTCTGAATCTAAAGAAGAACCCTTGTGTACTCTTTCACTAACATAATTAGTGAAAAAGAACACCGGATTGCCTTGTTTTTGCCTTGATTTGCCTTCTTTAGATCAAATTCTTTTATAAGCTTTAACCTTCTAAAGAATCTAAAAATTCGACACGAAAAACAAATCAAAGTTTGCGTGTGATCAATGTTTTTGAGCTTGCTGTTGCTGTTGCTGTTGCTGCTGCTGTTGCTTTAAGAATTATTGGGTTGGGGAGAATGAGTCGGCGCCGAAAATCAAAAGAATGTCTAAAACTTGAATTCGACTTCGTCAAATAATATGCGTTTGATATGAGTAGAATGGTTAACTAATTCTCTACAAAATCACATTTAAAAGAAAATTCAAACAGCGCCTCCGCTCAAGAAAAAGCCATTTTTTCACAAAAACTACAAACTGTGATCTAGAAAAAACCATTGGTGGGATCTTCCTGCAAATTTGGCAACTTAAGTAATTGAATGTGCTCTATCTTTTTTTATATAAACACCAAAGAAGGTTTATGTGAAAGAAACTGTTCAAATGATGAGTCGGCCTCTTTGCCATTTTAACCAGCTGCGTTTGGAAGTTCATAAACTCCACGAAAGAAAAGCTTTGTGGAATCTCTCAAAAGTGATTTTGTAGAGAAATAGTGGATCCTTTTGATGAAACCAAACGTATGTTTAAAGAAGGCTTTATGTGTGCAAAAAAGTCCCTTTAAAGTTGGGCGCCGACTCATTCTCCCCAACCCAATAGGTTTAATTTTTCCGCAAATCCATTGTGCCAGTTATTTGCATAATTCAAATAATCAAAATTGAACTTTTCAAAGTCGTTTCCCCGTTCCGTGTGATGTACAGCTTGTTCATAATACGGCTTCATATGGCGTAATTGGATTAGAAATGATTTTCCGCTTGGGGTTTCCTTTTGGAGAGATTTAAAATTCTCGATAATACTCAACAATGGATCAAAAAGGAGAAAATCAGATGAATTCACGAGTTTTACATCTTCGCACAACTTTTACATTGGACTTTCGATTTAGGGATTTCCAAGAACGATTTCAATTTCAAAGAATGATTTCAATTTCTATTTGAATTTGAATTTGAATTTGAATTTGAATTTGAATTTCTATTTCTATTTCTATTTCTATTTCTATTTCTATTTCAATTACGCTCAATCAGCTTACAATTACAATTACAATTACCAAATTTAACGCTGTATTTGGCAATATGTTTGGAAGTGTAAAATGATCGCTTTTTTTTCCTCACAATCAGCTTGATGCTGAATAATTTAATAAGGGAAATAAGATTTGAGGAAAAAAAGGCAACTTGCCTTTATTCTTGAACTTTGTGCTTTCAAAATGGAAACACAGCCTTTCGAGTGAACTAAATTCTAATTTTGATTTGATTTGATCAAAGCTCCAAATCACAGCTAAAACCGGAGTTAGTTACGGATACGATTTCACACAAATTTTCCAATAATTGTATTGAGTTGGAGGATATCATTGTTGAGTTTATTCATCGCTCTCTCACTCTCTCTTTTGATGTCCCTGAAGTGTCAATTGAAGCGACTTGAAAACCTTTGATCTTTGCGGGATATCCTTTGGATTGGATTGGATCTCCTTTCAGAGTTCCCGTTCTCATCGCCTTTCTATTCCAATTAATCAAAGGAGTGATATGATTTCACTCATTCTCGTCACTTCCTTTCCTCTTTCTTTTATGCAATCAATCTTTTTGTACTAAACGTAAAGCTATGCTCAAAATGTATACGCTTAGTAGTTTCGTTTGTGTTTTTCACCATTGAGTTTTTCATTAACACTTTTCTTGCAAGAGGAATTGAAATCGCAGTGTTTAGCGGCAAGTGCGGGATTCGAAGAGTCATTGCG